AAATAACATAAAAACATTGAATAAATGAAAACAACTAATTGTGGATAAAGAAAAATAATGCTTTGTATGTTCATTTATATTATTTTTATGAGAACTTTTTGTCATAACAATACATTTATCACCCAAACTAAAAGAAGTAACTCTTCTTAGACTGTTAAAACTTACTTTTTGTGTGCCCAAACATTACCAAATACATTTCATTCTTCCTGCCATCCAGGGAAGATTTCCCTGTCACTCTACCTAGGTTGTACATTTCTTTTTTTCTTTTTCTTTTTTTTAAAAGAATTTTTTATTTATGCATACAATCACTGGGGTAAAGGCCAGAGGTATGTGTGTGTGTGTGGGAAGGGTGAGAGGATTCACCAGAGACAGAGTGGGGAAAAGAACAGGCAGAATGACCAAAATACACTGCTGAGGGAAGCAGCAGGTGAGTCAGGAGAGGTCTGCTGCTCCATGTGGGTACCTCCCTGACTAGGGATTGAACTCATGCTGGTAGCTATGAACAGCTTCATAGGTAAGTAAGTTATCCAACACCAGTTAACAATTCCACAAAGGAATGAACCCCTTCCCAAGAGAAGACGGTATCAGTGCAATTTCTGTGTGGGTAAGATACCTCTCCTGTCCTCCTGTGACCATGCAGGTTTCTCTTTCTTAAATCTCCTATGTTCAGGGGCAGTGATTTCTGCCCCCTTGTGTCTGTGCAGGCATCCTTTCATTTCCTTTTTTTAATAATAAACTTGCCCTTTTGGATATAACAAGATGTCTCTGCCTCTTAGGGAAATTCGCTGTGTGCCACTGAAAGGGGAGCTCTGGTGAAACTATTCTTAGAGGTAACCCAAGGACCCCACTCTCTGAACCCAACACCTCTCCACACCGACATCATCAACCACCCTAGAGGGAGACCGAGTGGTCAGGACAGGTCAGGGACAGAGCTAAATGAGCTTAAAGGGGTTCATAATAAACCATCTGCCTAGTTCTTCTAGGGCCACAGACCATGTAGAGTGTTTTTTTTTCCTTTTTCTCCCAGCCCATTTTCCATATACCTTATCTACTGCCAGTGATCCTGCAGTGATCTTGAGTGGTATTGCACAACTTTATGAAAGTATTCTACCCAGCTCCTGATGATGCGTGACTCTTCCATCTTGATTGGCTATCACTGTGAGGCGTTTCCAATCCTGGGGAGGCTAGAAAGGTACCTATATTTTTCATGAATAATTTTTGCCTGAATAGGACAAGCCTTATTCTAAAGAAATTGTTCATTTCCTCTTTTTTCTTCTTCTTCTTCTGCAGAATGGAATCTGTGTGGTGCCCTGGGTGGTGGCTTTGCTGGTGAATTTAATGAGGCTGGATCCCTCTATGACTCAAGGCACAGACTACCCAGGTAAGAAAGGGACTTTTCTCAGGTATATATGCAAGAGCTGGGGAGGGGGAAGGATGCCTTTTTCCGTAGGTGTAGACCACTGAGAAGACTGGAGGTGACTTCTGGCTTCTAAGAGAGTACTCTTGCCTTTGGAGAGAGTACTCTCCCCTTTTCACCACACACAGTAAACCACTGGGTGAAGGGACTTCCCGTTTCAAGTCACAGATTCAAGGAGAAGGCGGCAGAAAGAACACTTTTTATTATACTTGGGGTCCTTATTGCATCAATATCAGTCGAGAACTACAAATAGAGCAGAGACAGTCTGGGAAGAGCTGCCCTTCAGCCAGGACTTTGCTCTGATGATTGTGACTGATTCTCTATTTACCCAGTTGGGGTCTACATGGACAAAAGAGATTAGAAATGAAGGTTGTTTCTTTTCACATTATTATTCTCCCCCTATTATATGATCAGAACTGTACTAACCAATTTTGAGGAATAAGAGAAGTTGAATGCACTATCCCTGCTCCCGGGTCTCCTTATAAATATATTTATTAATGTTGTTTTTCTACCTGAAGAGAATGGCTATGCAAGCACCAAGCAATTATTACACTGTGAAAGCATACTTATCAGCAGAAAACAGGATATAATGTGCTAAAAACAGAAACCACTTTGAATGTTGAAGTCTCATCAAGGGCAAAAGAGGAACAAACCTGGGTGGAGGGTGGGTGGGAGAGGATCTCTGTTCTTAGAGATGAGAAACTTTTCTGAGCTTATAAATTCCATTAAGCAACACAAATGAAAACAGTCTAGCCCAGATTTAAATCTGACACAGATTTAAATAATTTAAATAATTAATTTAAATGATTTCAATAATTTCTCTGATTGAAATTATTAGAAGAAATAGAGAACTGGAGGTTAGAGCCATATCTGCAGCTGGCTGTGAGCAGGAGAGGGGAGGCTGGAAACAGGAAGGGAGCTACCATCTTTCTACTCCCCTCAATAGGCCCTGCAAGAGTCTCTGAACTTTGACAAGAAAGCAAATTGACAACTCAGGGTCAGTGACAATTACCCTCCTATTTAAGAGCTATTTCTATAGGGAAATCTCTCCTGATCAACCTGCTTTGTTAACCCATTTGAATGACTTATAAACAAAAGAAAGCTATTTCTCACAGGGCTGAGGCTCAAGGTGTCAGCACCGTGGTCTTGTGGGGAAGGCTCTCTTCCTGGTTCATCGTGGCCCTTCTCCCTGGCCTCACACGGTGCTGGGGTTTGGGGTCTCCTGAGACTCTTTTATGAGTGCTGATGCCCTCAAGAGGCTCCACCCTCATGATCTAAGCAGCTCCTAAGACCTCATCTGCTAATATCATCAATTTTGGGGGCTGGGACTTCAATATATGAATTTGGGGGAAGGGCACAAACATTGAGACCATAGTGAGCTATGTGCTCCATAAGTAAGAATCACCCCTTTCCTACCTGTGAGGACTGGTTACATAACATTGGAAAATTAAATTACTTTGGAAAATATGAGATTAGGAATGAGGTACATCATATGAGAATAACATAGCTCAAAATGATCGCCACTAATATTAGCAACATGCTTTGAACATAGAAAACCATAATGAATAATGGAATTGGATTTTTAAAATTTCCTGTTCAGTGCAATATTTAATATAAAAGCCCCCATAGAAGGTTCAAGCTAACATCATATTCCCCATCACCATGTACTGCAACTATTAAAATTGTAGGCATTTTGCCAGTGATAATATAATAATCTTTAAGCCATGGATTAAAGAGGTTACTACCAACAAAGGTAAAGAGGTTACTACCTCTCTAGAGCCAGCAGAAGGGATGAGGTCTCAGGGTCTGAGTGCAAAAGGAAAATTGCTGGAGAAAACCCATAGGAGCGGAAGGTGAACGGAGATTGTTTCACACATAAGATGTACCTACTCTGCATCTCTGTCCCATCTCTGCTGCCTCTTCGCCTCATTCTGGAAGAAATACATAGAATTAAGTTGCTAAGAGCAGAGCACTGCAGTTATTTCATATGGGGCCGGGTCTTCTTGACTTGATAAAACAGGGAGTCAAAACCTTGGGTTTCTGAAAGCTCAGCTTAGAGAAACTAGCACAGTGTCTGGCAAGACACAAATGGACAAGAGATATTTGATGATTAAATGAGTGAGTACAGCTTGGCTGTATCTTGAGACTCTGGCTTGCTTCTCCGGGTGACATGTCTGTCGTTTTGTGAGCCTGATCATGGGCTTCGGGCTTTTTCATTATGGCTGTGTCCTAGCTAAGAGGAACCAGAGTGGGGACCAGGTAGAAGAGGACACTTTGGCCTATCACTGAGGTCAAAAAGCCTCTCAAATCCACGTGGTCTGGCATTATTTACCAGGAATGGGTTTACTAATGGTGGGACTAATTCACAATCCATTTTAGGTTTTCCAGAAGATTTTGTGATTCAGGCAAAGGCTGACTGCTACTTCACCAATGGGACGGAAAAGGTGCATTTTTTGGTCAGATTCATCTTCAATTTGGAAGAGTATGCACGCTTTGACAGTGACGTGGGGATGTTTGTGGCACTGACGGAGCTGGGGAAGCCCGATGCTGAGCTGTGGAACAGTCGGCCGGATATACTGGAGAGGAGCAGGGCTTCCGTGGATGCTCTCTGCAGACGCAACTACGGCTGGGGGCACCCTTCACTGTGGGGAGAAGAGGTGAGGCGGAAGGGGAGGTCTGGGGGTTCAGGAATCTCCCCAAGCCAACCTGGTCGTGGCTTTTTCCCCTTCCGACAGTTTCCTGCTTCAGGAAGTTTATGAGCAGGTGTTCTATCCCGACATGACTCACCCAATAACCTCAGAGGTCCGGTCACAGTGGTCTTGGTTCCAGTCTCCAAGGTCCACAGGAACTGTAAGGGATCATGGGCCCTCTATTAGAAAGGGTCATTGTGGGAGTGTCTGGTAAGGCTGACTCCTTGGGGGCATTGACATACCCCGTTTCAGAGTCTTGGGAGCTGGGATTTCCCACATTCCCAATTTCCACTTGGGTGATCTGGGAAGGAGATTAGGGGCAGCGACCACCTCTGAAGCAACTCCTATCTCGGCTTGGTGGTTTTCCTTCACAATGTCTCATTTTTCTAGTGCAACCAGAGGTGACAGTGTACCCTGAGCGGACCCCATCCCTGCAGCACCACAACCTGCTGCTCTGCTCTGTGACGGGATTCTATCCAGGGCACATCCAGGTCAGGTGGTTCCGGAACGGGCATGAGGAGAGCGAGGGGGTCACGCCCACTGGCCTCATCAGGAATGGAGACTGGACCTTTCAGACAACATTGACGCTGGAAATGACTCCTGAGCTTGGGGACGTCTACACCTGCCTTGTTGAGCATCCCAGCCTGCTGAGCCCTGTGTCTGTGGAGTGGAGTGAGAATGGCTTTTTGTACTCAGGGCCTGACTTGGGGTCATAGTGACTCAACTTGGGCCCACATTCCCTCCATGTTCTTCTCAGTCACAACGCTGTTCTTCTTCCCCTGATCTGAGAGAGTCAGAATTCAGAGTTCTTGGGTTTGGGTGGGAGGAAACTTGTCTGGTATTTATCCTTGTATCTTCCAAAAATTGAGGTCATCAGCTCATCACTTACTTCCAGTGTTGGGAACTAGCATCCTCTAATACTTTGTCTTGGTATATAGGGGACATTCTTATGGGCTATTAAGAAGCAGTAATAGAAACTGTTTGCAAATTGGGTGCAAATCTTGTCCTGAAAGTAACCATTTCTATATTTTTTTTTTTTTTGTTTTTTAGACAGCATTGGAATAGTGTCTGGCACAGGCTCTGGATTTCAGTGAAGTGCAGCAAATATTGGAAGCTTTTTACTAATTTAAAGACTTGTTTCCCATAGGAGCTCAGTCTGAATACTCTTGGCAAAAGATGCTGGCTGGAGGTGCAGCCTTCCTGCTTGGGCTAGTCCTCCTTCTGGTGGGGACTGTCATCCACCTCAGGGCTCGAAAAGGTAACGAGCCTCTGAGGGGTCCCTCCACCTGTCCTGTAGCTTCCCCTACTTTCCACTTTTCCCAACATCAAAAGGAGGAGGCAGGGAAGGCTGATAGAGCTTCTAAGGGTCACAATGATAGTCTTTATTTTATTGAGGTAACATTGGTTTATTGTGATTCAGAGGTACAGGATCACTCCACTTCAGATATGTCACCCCTCACCCCACCACCACGACACCATAGTCCTCCACCAGAGTCCCTCAGGCCCCCTCCCTGCTTTGCTCTCCACCCTCCCTTACTCATCCTGTAGCCTTAATTCTACCAGGGATAGTTTTTCGGAAGCCAAAAGCATCCAAGAGGTAAGCAGAGACTGAGTTCTGATATTGCAGGCCCCCTCAAGATAATTGTAGCTTTGGGGCCTAATTGGGACATTGTCTTTCTTTCCTCTTTTATTCCAGGATACATGGAGGCTCAGCTGTCTGGTTATGAGGTAATGCCTCCTTCCTTGTCCTTGGGTGGAAGGCTAATCTCCCAATCTTTTGTCTAGTAGGGGATGTGTGGGGACAAGATGTAGAGGTGGGTGGCTTTGTCTGCAGAGTCCCTGGCATGGGAAATGGGTTCCCTCAAGAGACCTTTGTTACTGTCCCTGCAGGTGTGCAGAAATGTTTTCCCGCCACAGGCATGCGAGGGCCCTGAGTGGAGACTGTCTCCTGGATACTGAAGCAGCTCCTGGGCCCTGGACTAGGCAGAGGACATTGATGAGGTCGATGTTCCAGGGGTTCCTTTCTGTGAGGGTGGGGAACAGTCCCGAATGATTCTGTGTCCTAAGGTCATCCATTTCCCACCCTCTTCACTTCTCCCTCCTGCTTGAGAAGGTCATCAGGCCCCCTTCCCAAGAAAAAAGTCCAGAAATTCCCCTAAGACTTAATTCCTTCCAGCTCCAAACTGTTTACCTTTCCAGCCCTATTTCTGAAGGCCGTTACCCCGTCTTTCTCTCTGCTAGCTGCTGTCTTCTCAGTGATCGAAGACAAATGCTCAGTTACTTAAAACAAAACAAAACAAAACAAAACAAAACCTTTCTAATTGTAAAATAAAACTGATAGAGATAACCACACCAAATGGATACTCGAATGAATTATCATCATTTTTTGGACAAATTTTTTTTCAGACTATATTAACATTAATTTATTTCCTTCATTTCCAGATAAGAAATGCAGTTTCAAAGAACTTAGGTTGCTTGGGAAAAAACAGGACCTGTAAATCCAGATCCATAATGTATCACCTCTCTGGATTTTTTTTTTTTTTTGTTTGTGTGTGTGTTACTGTTTTATTGAAGTAGCATTGGCTTACAGCAGCATATGTGATTCATAGGTGTGGCTCACACCTGCTCAGGTGTATGTTCCCAACCACCAAGGCACCCATTGTCCTCCAGCTGATCACTAGATCGTTTAAAAATATTCCATAAGTTTTTTCATAATTTAAATTTTTAAAAAAATTTCATAATTTGAAAAAAAATTTTTTTTTATTGAGCTAATGTTGGTTTACATTATTGTCTGTGCTCCCAGGAGGCTGGGAGCACAATGGCACATGGTGGTGGACTACAGCTGCTTTGTGGGGGGGGGGGGTGGCGCTGTGGTAATATCACTGGAAATGCGGAGCCTATTCTTTTTAAAAAAGATTTATTTATGCACACAAAAACTGGGGTGTAGGCCAGAGATGCAGGTGAGCAGGTGGGTTGAAAGGATTCACCAGAGACAGAGTTGGGGAGAAGAACAGGAGGATCTACTGAAATACACTGCTGAGGGGAGCAGTGGGTGAGACAGGAGAGGTCTGCTGCACCATATGGCTTCAGAATGAGTTACTTAAGGCCAAAACTCCAGTAATCACCCCTCAGGTCAAGAATTAGGCCTTTGTAGCCACCGCAGAAATCTCCATGTGCCTCAGGGCAATCAAATCCTCTCCCTTCTCCCAAATGGAATGATAGATTGATTGTTACAGTGACCACTTTCTTTTTTTGGTATTTTTAGTCTCTTCACTCAAGTATTAATTCTGGACACTCTTGCTTAGTTGTCTCTTATGTCTCTTGTACTTTACATGTTTCTCCTTCACTCTTTCATTTGAAAAACCTGAACAATTTGAGCTGCAGGGTTTCCCAGGGTCTGGAATTTGCAGATTACACACATCTGGTGCAGTCTAACAAGACCCCATGTCCTCTACATTTCCTGCAAGTTGTCCTCTGGATTCAGAGGCTGGGTCAGACTTAGATTTGGTCCCTTTGTAGCTGGTATTGTGTCTTCTAGGTCCTTTAATTTTGGGGGATTGAAAAATGGGGATATTCTAATTTTATCATTCCATGTTTATTTATATGCCATATTGCTTTTATAAAGAGACATTTCCCTTCATTTACTAGGGGGTTGCCAGTGGCACTGTGGTGAGAAAGAATATTTTCTCTTTTCCTCTATTTACTAGTGTTCAAATTAATTTTTTATCTACTATTATCCAAAGGTGTGCAATTAGATTTACTTTTTACTTTTTGTATTATTATAAACTCAAGGGTTAAATGTAGTTGATGGATCTTATCCATGTTAAGTTCAAATGTTTCATTTTTGGTGAATGGATTCTTCTTCAAGTGACTCCAGTATTCTTTTGACACAACCTTTTGAGAACTCCTTTGTTAGCTGTTCTGACAAAACGTTCCAGGTTCATTCTGTACATTTCCTGCCAGACCTGGACTCAGTCATTTTTCCAGAAAGCCCTGGCTTACTTTAATGGGAAATGCCATTTAATACCATAATCTAGAATTAGGAATTGGTAGAATTACCAGGGCTTTTCAGTGGAAATATAGTTATACTTACATACATTTTTACGTTTGTATGAACCCAGATTTATATATGTACACATTTTAAAAATTTAGTTTCCTTTATATTACATTTATATCTTCTTTCCTCCAAGAATTCTGGTTTTCAAGGACACAGAGATAACCACAATTAGAATATCTATCCCTACTTACTCACTTGCTTTACCCAAATTTTTATATATATATATATATATATGTATATATATGTACGTGTGTGTATGTGTGTGTGTGTGTATAAACAGGTTAAGGATAAAGAAACTTATACTACTACCATTAAATACTTCATCGCCCCATAATCCCCCTGTCTATGACATAGACTCCATGTTCAAAGATTTCATGTAGAATTAAGTGGAAAGAATATAGATCGTTTGACAATCAGTAGTAAAGGCAGTTGCAAGAAGAGACTAATTCGAGTTAATGAATATACAGTCAGCACCCTGTCATGATAAAATGCTCAAAAAATAATAATAGAGGGGAAGTTTCCCAATTTAATAAAGTATATCTACAATAAACATTAGTTTACTGGGTGTTCCCTCTAAGATCAGAAACAAGGCAAAGATGTCCCCTCTCACACTCTCACTCATCACAGTGTTGGGAGTTCTAGCCAGTACAGAAAGCAAGAAAAGGAAACAAAAATAAAGCACACAGATTGCAAACGAAGAAATAAAACTGTCAGATGTCATAATTATACAATCATGTAGGAATTCTAAACTAGAACGAAAAGGTGAGTTCAACAAGGTTACAGGATACCAGATAATTATACTAAAGTCAGTTATATTTCTATGTACTAGCAAATGAACACACAAATACCAAAATTGAAAAATAAAATGTCACTTAAAATCACTCAAGCCTTTCTGGATCTCCCAATGAAAACATGTCTCTTCTAAAGGATATTCCTTTCCAGAAAAGGATAAGAAACACAAAAGGTATCTCTTGCAGAGACCCAGTTCTTGTTTCATTGATGCAAAATGCTCAGGACACAGGTTGTTGGTCAGGCACAGATGTAGGTCTGTAGTCACTGCTCCCCTATGCTCTGCCAGCCCTCAGAAGGAAGTACGTCTTACAGAAGGTGCTCCTCCAGACAAAAGCAGCTCTAGAATCCCTAAATCAAGATAAGTGGGAAAACATACCAATAAATACATTGTTGGATTTTAAAAATAAAATATTTATGTGTAATTCTGATGAAATGTACAAAATTCCTATGCTGAAAACTGCACAACACTGATAAAAGGAATCAAAGAATATCTAAATAAATGAAGTTACACAGTATTCATGGATTAGATGACTCAGTTTAGCAGAGAAGCCAGTTCTCCTAAGTTAATAAACAGGTTTAACTCCATTCTTACCAAAAATCCCAGCAAGATTTCTTTTAGTTATAGACAAGATTATATTTAGGTTTATATGGAAAGGCAAGGAAATAGAACCAGTAAAAAGAATTTTGAAAAAGAAAAATGATATAGGAGAAATCCATCTGCCTGATTTTAAGACTGATTTAAAAACTCTGGTATTTGTAGTGACACAGACACATATATCAATAGACATCAGAAGGCTGAAAGGAAAAATCTCTTTAATAAAGATAATGTAGTCATATGTTCTTCTACAGTCAATCTGTAAAATATGCTGTACTGGTTGAAATACTTAAAGAAAATGTGACCTCAATAAAATATGTAGCTAGAAAGAGGAGAGGTATTACACTCTCAGACTGGATTTCATCAAAATTAAAAACTTGTTTTCTGCAAAAGATCCTCTCAAGAGAAGGAAAAGACAAGTTACAGATTGGGAGAAAAATATTTGCAAATCACATAACTGACAAACAAGTAACAGAATCTTTATGAAGAACTTTCAAAATTCAACAGTAAGAAGCAATAAGTAACACACTTATGAAAAGTAGCTCTATTTTCTAGCACAGAAAAATGACAGTAAAGAAGCTGTTTTACAGTTTTTTTTTTTTAAAGATTTATTAATTTATTTATGCAAGCACTGGGTACAGGTCAGAAGCGCAGGAGGTGAGAGAATTCACCAGAGCCAGAGCGGGGAGCAGAACAGGCAGACTGACGAAATACACTGTTGAGGGGAGCAGCGGGCGGCAGGAGAGGTCTTTGCGCCATGTGGACCCTCGCCAGTGGCCGGGGATCGAACCTGTGCTGCAGAGGCTTCGGGCAGCTTTGCAACCCAGCGCTCAACAGCTGCGCCACCAGAGGAGGCCCAGCATCTTCTACCTTTGCCCTGTCCCTCTCCCACATGCAACTGATGGAAAACATCAACTGCACCTGCTTCCTCACATTTCTCTAACTCTGCATCCCCCTGATCGTACTTTAGTTTTGGTGTGGTCTCCTCCCAGCAACCACTTCCATCTCAACTTTGCTTCCATAATTACACCTTTGGCTCTCCTGCTTCTCTCTCTCTTTAAGGTCTGGCCCATGTCATCTGTGTTTCTAGTTTTTTGTCCTTCCCACCAGAACATCCTTCCCACCAGAACATTCTTTCTAACCCTCAAAACTGTTCATGTTACTTTCCTTATTCTCAACCTGCATAATGGCTCCTACTCACTGCAAAATGAAGCCCAAAGTCCTCAGGAGACATCTGTCCCCAGCTTGATTTACCACCAGTCCTCAAAACCCCAGTCCTCTCCATCTCTCCACGCCTGCGTGTCACTGCACTTGGAACTCACCCTCCACATCCTTCTGGGTTAATGTCTTTCCATTAGGAAGTTTTTTCCCTCATTCCCTCTGTGACTCCATGTATCTCAAACATATTCCTGCTGAGCCCTTTGTTGCTCTCCTGGATGGTAAACGGGGCTTTTCACCTTATTTATTTACTTATCCATTTATTTACTATCTTTATAGCTCACATGACTGTCAGTCAAACACGTGCTCTACAGTGGATGACTGTACTTCA